GAAAACTGCAAAATACTGCTAACAGAAACTTTTAAAATACTTATATAAATGATAAACAACTTTATTAAGATGTTAATTTTTCCTAGATTTTTCTACAAGTTCAAGGCAATTCTAAATTAAAATCAATGAATAGGTGTTAGAAGATAATAAGAATTACAAGTTCATGCACAACATTATCAATGCAACTGATATCACAAAACTATATGTGAAAAAATGGTAAACTGGTAAACATGTTATTACAATTTTGCAACAATTTTTAAAAGAATTATTAATTTGGTAGATGTGTATATTTCTTTGGTGCTTATGAATTAGAGATACACATCAAAAGAAGCAGGGGGAACTGACATAAATCCTTTAACATATTTTGGGGGGTGGGGATAATAAGTAAAATAATATTGGCAAAGATACTCTAATCACGTGAAAGTTTGAACATTTTCATAGTAATTTAATATACAACTATCAAGAAGATGTTTGCAGGCTTCAAAACAGATGCAGTGAGATTAGGTTTCTAAGGGTAGACCATTTTTCTACTTATTTATGTACTTCCAGTTGTTGAAGCAGCACCTGGTACATAGTACATACATACTCCACTGTCACTTTATCAAGTCCTTTTAAAAATCCTTACATATTACTAACAAGCAATGACATAAGTATTTGGGACTCTCCATCACAAGCATAATTCTTTACTATTTACAAATATTCGTTCTATTGTACCACTGTTTCTCATTTTACAGATAAAAAATTTAAGTCTATAAATTAGTTTTAAGTCTATAAATTAGGTCACAAAAGCTGGGCAATGTGGGACAAAGACCAAAACTGGCCAATACAGCCAGAACTCTTTAAAAAAAGACCCCAGAAAAGACCCAAAACTAGAAAGATTAGTTAGCTTTTTGAGGTTGTTGTGTGATCCTGGCCCTCTCAAGGACAGCCACTTTCAACGTGCCAGAACCAGTGCAGCTTTCTTAACATTTCCTAACATTTAGTCATTGACAGCAGTATTTTATCAAATGCGAAAATAAGGAATTCAAACACAATGTTACTCTTTTCTTTATACTTTAAATTATAACAACATTTTTTTAAGAACTAAAAATTTAAAAAAGCAAGCAAGAATACACACACAAAAATATAACAACCAACCAAATAATTTTAAGGAGCTCTTGGTGGCCTAGTGGTAAAGAGTTATACTGCCAACACAAAGGAAGGCTGTTCTAATCTGAAGCTTTTCCACAGGATGATGGGCAATCTCCTCCCAAGAGATTTAATGCCTCTGAAAACCCAATGGAGACTTAGCTTTGAGCTGTTTCCAAATCAACAGAATGAATGAGTAGTATAGCAACCCACATTAATATAAAGTATATTAAGTTGTTTCAGAATTCAATTAAAAAGTCAGCTGAAAAACAAAAAAGTCTGGTGCAACCACTATGGAAGGCTGTATGGTGCTTTCTCAAATATTTGCAAATAGAGATACCATTTGATACAGCAATTCCACTACGGGGAATTTACCTTAGAGAAACCATAACTTTCTCCCAGACAGATATATGCATATCCATGTTTATTGTGGCTTTGTTCGCAATAGCAAAGAGCTCGAAACAATCCAAGTGCCCATCAACAAATGAATGGATAGAGAAGCTCTGGTATATTAACACAATGGAATACTATGCAGCATTGAAAAATCAAGGAACTCAAGAAATATTATGCAAAATGGATGACCCTGGAGGACATTATGCTGAGTGAAATAATCTCAGTCACAAAAGCACAAATATTGCATAGGGCCACGGTTGTAAAACGGGGCTGACATCCATGGTTGAAGGAAGACAGAAAAGGAGGGGAGGAATGGTGTATATTGCATTGAAACAGATGAGAAAGAGCACCATTTAAAAGGGATATATGAATAGGTATTCTTGTCATTACAGAAGTCCAGAGTGAAGGCTGCATAGTGGAGTGGACTAGAGGGGGAGGGACAGTATAACAATGAAAGTTTTTTCTTTTCAAGGAGAAGAATTAATTGGGTGGAGGAGATGAATAGGGAGAAAAGTGCAACAATGAATGACTGGAAACCCAAGTCTCTGTAAACTTTCATTAAAATTAATTTTAAAAAAGAAAAACAAAAAAGTCACAAAGTAAAATAATTTGTTGTGTTTTTATATTTTTTAAATAATTTGTTTTTATGGTCCATTTAAAAAGTTGTCATAAAAAATTTAATTCAGCTGCATTTCAGGGCACAATATCAACACACAAAAATCTGTGTATTTCAATATACCAGAAATGAACAAGCTGAAAAAGAAATTAGTAAAACCATTTCACTTACAACAGGATCTAAGAAATAAAATACTTGGGAATAAATTTAACAGCAGAGGTAAAACATTTGTGCATTGAAACTATGTCGTTGTTGTTGTTATGTGCCAAGGAATCACCTGCAATTCCTAGCGACCCTATGTACCCTGACATATCTTGAGCCAATCTCAGGAAATTATACTACTTTAAGAAATAAGACTGAAAGAAATTAAAAACAATGTGTATTTATGGATTATAAGATTTAGCATTGTTACGATGATAGTACTATGCCAA